CCATTATCAACAAAATATAGTTTTACATATTCAAAGTCTGTCGCTCGTAAAAACTGATAACTGATTACTTCTTTTTGTGGTTTTGGATTTCTAATAATATTCATTGATGGTGGAGATTCAGTCTCCAATAACATATCAAAATTACTCAATGAAAATTGATCTTCTTCATTATCCTCTGGTATTATTAACATTCTAAACCTATCTATATATTTTCCACTCGTTTTAATTTCATATAAGCGTTCAGTCTTGCTGTTTTCATCGTTAATTTCTAATTCTTTAGTTTCTACATTTTTTGTACCATTGATAAACTGAAGAACTTTACGAGCGTTAAATTTTCTAAATGTATGTGAGTTTTGTCTGAAGAATATTGATTCAACTTTTACCTGTATAGGAAATGTTATTTCAATTACAAGTTTTCCTTTAAAAGTAAAAGTATTTATGTTAAAATAATTTAAATCAAAAATATTTTGGGGGTGTTTAATAGCACCTGAAAGAGAATATACTGTTATATTTGCTGTAAATCCAAATTTTTTATATTCAAAGTCTTTTGATCTATCAATATTATCAGTAATAGAAGCATCGTAATCTCTCAAATTTCCAAATGGAAGATTGAAATAATATGATTCTTTCTTGAGAAACTTTTTTTTCTAATGCGAGTATATTTTTATCCTGTTTTAAAACTAGGTTATTAATAGTGGTTATCTGTTGTTGAATAACACTATCATCAATGTTCTGTATTTGTTGATGAATATAGGTTTTGATTTCGTCTATGTTTTGTATTTGTTGTTGAATATTTGTTAGTTCTTTTTGTAATTTGTCTTCACTTATACCTGGATTAATATTGGCTATTAGTTGTTTAAGATCTATTTTTTGCTTTGTAATCTTATTATCTAAAGTTTGTAACTGAGTCTTATCTACTACATTGACTAATTGTTGTTGAATAAAATTTTTTAAACTTGTTACTTCTTGTTGCAATTTAGTATCATCAATATAATCTTTATTATTTATTTGTCGTTTGAAGAATCTTTTCACATCGGTATTCTTTCTTTTAAATGTTCTTTTTACTTCAATTAAATTTAATTGTTCAATTAAATATTTCTTGTGAATGGCATCATTATCGTTTTCCAGACTTTAAATTAGTTATGCTAAAATTGTTCATATCTAAATCACCTTGAAGAGTGTCTCCGATTTGATCCACAAAGTAAGGTTTCGCTTTATTTATCCACACTGTTGTGTTAGGTTTTTTAGTTTCTAAAGATAAAGAACCTAATCCAAACTTATTCGCCATTTTTATTGAGTTAAATTTATTACAATTTCTTCAAACTGTTTTCCTAAACTTAACTGATATAAAACCCAAAGTGAAAGTTGACCACAAAACTTTTGTCCCGGTAATTGAATTTGAAATGTCGAACATTTGATTGGTTTATTAGTCAATTGGATTACCTCTTCAGTGGGTTCTAATCCATAAGAATCGAAGAAATAAAAGTCAGAGTCTTTGTACAAAGCAGAATGATGAACTCCTTTTTGATCGGAAGTATGTATATTTGTTATAGCGTAAAATTTACCTTTCTTATATTTCAGATTATTTATTTCATCTCTCATACAATAATAAAACGGTGATATATTTAACTCATTCGCCCATCTCATAAGTTGAAAGTTTGTGGTTGTATCGGTTCCATATTTATCGAGAAATTCATTCATTTTTAAAAGTCGTTTTTTTTTAAATATATACATAGTTTGTGTTTGAAAAAAATTGTATTACATTCAATAATATTTTGAACATAAATTTGCATTTAAATTTAAAAAATTTAAAGCGTAAATGCTTGTCTATATCTCTTAATCTTCTATCAAATTCTTCATCATTCATTTTTAAAAGTCGGTTTTTTGAAGTTCGTTTTGATAAAACCTACCTATGATTTGTTCTTTGTCTTGATCGATTAATTCATATGTCGGAGGTGATGTGGTGTTTACTTTATCAACGATAAATATTTCGTTCGTCCAGTATCCAACGTAACCTTTTTCGAATTTACTTTTATATTTGAAAATACGAACTCGATCTCCGACTTTAAATTTGGGTTTGATATTTAAATTCTTTATTTCATTTTCGTAGTTATGTTGCGCGTTAATTGAACCTATAATATTGGTGTGACACCTATAGATGAATGAATTTTGTTATTGTATTCATCTACAACCTCTGGTAATATTTTAAGCAATTTTTGAGATTTCAATTCCGTGAACTTTTTGAATAATTTATTTTTTAGAGTCCTGTTAAATCTTTCAATAACTACAGCTTTACCTTCGTTATGCGTACTGTAAATTTCAAATCCCAGAGATTTCATATTTTTGTTATAAAATTCACTTCCTTTATCTACCCATAGTTTTTCTGGATGACGGTTAGATTGTTTCATAATCGTTTCAAATGAGTGTTTGACTGATTATCCCGTTTTGTTTTTGAGAGGAATAACCCATGCATATCTCGTATATAAATCTATAACTGTTAAGCAGTATTTAAATCCTCTTTCGATTGGCATATGAATTAAATCGGCTGACCATATTTCATCTTTTTCAAACACTTTTACTTTTAAAAAGTTTTTAGTTTTTCTAAATTCTTTATGAATTTCATCCGCCAATCCCATGCCTAGTTTCATCTTTGCTTTTAACAGTTTAATGATTAATGCTCTTTCCATTCTCTCTTTGAAAGTTAGATTTGGAATATTTTCAAGTTCGATTATCATTTGTTTGTCTGCTTCGTGTCTAAACTTTATGTCTTTGTTTCTGTATAAAATATCATGTTTAAGCGCAGCGGCGTCAACTCTATTGACTGGTTCTTCGCCTGGTTTGGGTTTATTGTTTTCGTCTAATCGTAGATCTAACCTTGTGCCTGGACCTGTATAATTGTGCCCTGAGAGATGTTTTTCTCCGGGATATTTCGCCCATGGAAATCCAGGAAGAGAACCCAATGATTTTTGTATATCTCCTGAACCGAAATAAGTTTTTGGAGCGTGAACGACAATCATTTTTATCCTATAACTTTAAAACCTTTTCCTTTCCTTTCTTCTAATCTCCTGTTTCGAAGTTCTCTTATTAGTTCTAATTCTTTCAAGTCGTTAGATTGTTTCACTGTATCGCTTATACTCTTTCCCACTTCAGCGATTGAGTCGATGGCTTTCGCTCCGCTTGAAATGAGTGATTTGTTTTTTGAAATAAAGCTAGCTACTTTTGGAATTATTGTTTTACCTAGAGAAAATAATGAAGAAAAGATACCGTCGCCCGAATAATCTTCGAATCTGTGTTGTTCGTGTTTTAGAATTAAACTCATCCTATTTTTAAATGAGTTAATTTAGCCTTTTTTTTTTATCCAAAAAGAGTTATCTCCCATCTACTAAAAATGTTATGTTATAAGGGTATTTTTAATATGGAATGTAGGTAATTGGTTGAAGGTGTTTTTGGTGTATGAAATGTAGGGCTGTAAGAATTTATGAAATGTAGGGAATTTAGGTCTTTTGCTGTAAGAATTTTTGAAATGTAGGATGTTTAGGTCTTTATGGGAGTTCATAGATTGATTGGATTTTTCCCATGAAATGAAAAAAGGGGAATTCCCATGAAAAGGGGAAAACCCATGAAAAGGGGAATTCCCTATACGACCAATCCGAGCGAACAAATTGAAAGCTCATATACTACTTAGGCCTACCGTTCAAATTAACCAAACTGGCAACAGTATCATTTATTAAGGCTATAAGAACAAAATATTAATAGAATACACAAAAAATAAAGTTTGTGGTAATTTGTAATGGATACAACCCACTTCATTTTGAGCTTAGACTGGTATAAGACCAAGAGTCATATAGTAAGACTGATTTTCTATGGTAATCAGCCTGAAATCAGATGAAGATTGGAATAGGTTAAAATGTTTATCGTAGAGCAATATTGACAAATTTATTTAATTTGCAAGTTCATTAATTTCCACGAGTTAAAATTCAAGTTGACAAAAATGTGACCTGTAAATGTCGGCTACCACTATCCCTGTTTAGTCTTCTTAAGGCATTTTTATGAATCTACAATTTGCCAATGTGATGTTTGTTATCGTCTTAATATATTTGTCTCTCAAATTCCCCAAATTAAACTCTTAATTGTCTTAATTAATTAGTGGGTATCTAATTTAAAGGTTAATTACTTCTAAATGA